GGGCTGGGGATTTAGCTCAGCGGCAAAGCGCCTGCCCGACAAGCACAAGGTCGTAAGTTCAATTCCTGGTACCGGAATAAACACAAAAAACCATTTATCCCGCACTCTACGGCCCCAAACTTGAGCCTTACGACTTACTCGCTTATTTGGGCTCTTCCTAACCTCACCCATCCCTATCCTAGCAACGAAAATGTGCTCCGTGTGAGCCGGAACCACACAACCAGGTCACCACTAGTAACAAGCACGTGCTGTTTCTGGGCCATGGGAGCGTCTGCAAAAAATGGTAGGTGGAGGGAAAAAAGCAGTGAAACTCATCTGAGTGAAGTTCCTGCAAAGATCCCAGGCCGCCTGGCTTGGGAGTTAAACTCACATCGTTACCAAAGGCTTCTACCGAAAAGAAGGGAGCACCAGCCACTGCCCACGTCCCGCCCGAACTCTGTAAGGGTACACAGGAAAGAGTTCGCGCCCGCCACTACCAGGCTTGCCCCGCGAACGCAGGCGCACTCCTGTCAGAAGCCGCGGGTACACGCCCCGGAAGTAGTTCAGCGCGTCCCCTGCGCCGGAAGGAGATGCCGCGTCGCTCTCGCGTCTGCGCACACAAGCATGGTCCGAGAGGCGTCCTCTTTTGGCGCCGCACGTCGCGGCCAGCCCGCTCCGCGCAGGCGCATTCGAGACTAGATGCTACAGTATTTATTGGCTGTCGGGTGGCAGTCTGTGCGCCTCTGGCAGTGTGTTCCTGGGGAGACTCCCCTCGCAGCAGTGTGCTTGCTAAAAGTTCACGTTCACACACACCGCAGCCTCATAACCAGTGTCTTCAGTGGTAATCGCGGAAGCCCAGTCCTGGGCTCGGGTGCAGGGGATTAAGGACTTGGTCCCTGGCTTGCAAGAACTAGTTGGAGCGGGGAAACCGAAAGGGAAGTTCGGTGAGCAGCCCCGGAGGGATGGACTGGCCTATGGGAAAGACAGGAAAAGTTCACCTTTGTAGAAGTTGCAGGAATACTGCAGCCTGCCGCTAAGTGAGTAGTACACGTGAGCCGAGGCGAAGGATGAAGGGGAAGATTGAGTAGAGTGAGAGAAATGGAACCAACAGGAGTTTGTGGGCCCCTGGGTTAGGTGATTTTTGCATGGATTCCCAGGTTCCCTCAGGGAGCAGAGCCCTCAATGCGCCTGCGTGGACACTGAGTCAAAGACAGTTCCTGTGGGAGGCAAAAACCAGTTTCTACGGAAGAAATAATTCCAGTCACACTACAGTACAACAGGAGGGAGCACTTTATTTCTTTGAACTAACATTTCCAAAATACCAAAACCAAAGTCACTAAAAGGGGGAAGGAGGGTTTGTAGGCAAATACCTTTCATAAATTTAAATACAAAGCTCTTAGCAAAAGGTAAGCAGGTCAACTCCAGTAGTATATCAAATGTCAAGACACAGTAGGATTGATTTTAGGAATGTGATGTTGGTTTGGCATTCAGAATAAATCAATAGATGTAATTCACTATAAAAACAAAGGAGAGCCATAGTTCAATGGCATAGCACCAGTGTGGCAAGCTCAAGACTGAGTTCAATTCCTGGTACCAGGGGGAAAAAAAAAAAAAGAAATAATGGGTCATCTCAATAAGGAAAGAAAAAAATGTGACAAAATTCAGTACTTATTCATGATTGTGGGAGGGTTGGTGTTATGCAACAGGATCTCACTATGTATATAGTTCAAGCTGACCTTGAACCCACTATGTAGCCCAGGCTGGCCTCCAGCAGATATCCTCTTCATAGATCCTCCTATCTCCGACTCCCAAGTACTGGGATTATAAGCCTGCAACACCATGCCCTTATTCATTTTTAAACACTGCTAGCGTACTAGCAAGAGAAACATTTTTTTCTCTTTTTTTTCCCCACCCCATAGTTGTCAGAGCACTATGCATGCTGCTGTGAGTTATACCCTCCCACACACCCCAGGACAAACATACTTAACCTGAAAGGCCAGCTGCAAAAAGCCTACCATCAATATTCACACTGAACCCCATTCCCAAGCCATTTTTATTTTTTATTTTGAGACAGGATCTTGTTAAATAGGCCACATGGGACTTAGACTTAGGATCTTCCTGCCTCAGCCTCCCTCCATGCTGAGATGACAAGCATGTGCCACAGCACCAACATTTTACCAGAGGTCCTAACCAAATCAAAAGGGCACAGAAAGGAAGAGGCATACATCTGTGTTATCAGAAAAGAAAGTAAAACTCATTCACAACTGTCATGATTTAGGGTACAAACTTACTAGAACTAATACATGGAATTTAGTAAACTCAGGGCCAGGAATATAGCTCAGTGGCACAGCACCCACCTGGCAAGTGCAAGGTCCTGAGTTGGATTCCTGGTACCAAAAAAAAAAAAAAAAAAAAAGTGCTGGAATTTAGTAAACTCAGAATGCTTGAGACCACAGTTCCCACACTGGGAAAAAAAAAAAAAAGGAAAAATTTCTCTATATGCTAACATCAAGATGGCATTTTAAGATATAGACCATTTGTTGTAGCATCCAAAACACAAATACTTAGGAATAAATTTAACAAAATAGATGCCAGACCTGTGCACTAAAATATATAAAACAGCTTGTAATCCCACACTCAGGAGGCTGAGGTAAGAAGATTGCCATGTGTTTGAAGCCAGCCTGGACTACATAGTGAACTCAAAGCTATCCTGAACTACATAGCAAGACCCTGTCTCCAAAAACAAAGAAGTGGGGGAAGCACTAAGATGGCAGAGTGGTAAGCAGCAGAGAAAGAGCCTCTCTGAGAGTCGCTGTCCAGATGCTGGGATATAACAACATGAGGAAGACAAGAAGAGGGAAGTGGGACCCCTGGCTCCAGGAAGGATCTGAAGTATAAATTGAAGCCCACAGAGAGAGTGAAGAGAGAAACTTCAACAAAGAAGGAGGTAGCCGGTGCACCTTCTCCCTGAGATAGGACTCACTGTATGAGCAGAGAGGTTCAGAACTTCGGATGCACAGTGACCCAGAGGCCTCCTTGGAGAGATGCAGGTGAGCAGCAGATGTGAAGGACTGCACTAGCTGTCAATGAGCATGGAGGGCTCAGTCACCCCTTGAGAGGGAGTGATTGGCTGGGAACCATCTTGGAGAGAGGCCAGCTAAGCTGAGAACTCAAGAGTGGCTGCTGGCTCCATCTAGTGGCTCGCCCATGATTGCTGCAGGCCGATTGACACTGGTCTAAACCAGAAGGTGCAGGCTGAGATTCTCCACTACCCCACCAAAAAGCTACTACTGGCTTGCTGAGATAGATCAGCATGGATCAGGACTCTGTCTCCACATGTTGTCTACCAATGACAGCAGAGATAAACCTGTAAGTGTATTTTCTGTTTTTCCTCCCCCCCCCATTTGTTGTTGTGGTTTTGTTTTTGTTTTTTCTTCCTTCATTGTTTAATCTTGCTTTTATATGAGTGTGAACGTGGTTTCTAGCCTCTTTGTGGTTGTTGTTCTGTTCTGGTCTTTTTTTTTTTTTTTTTTTTTTTTTTTGGTCTTCTTTTTATCTCTTCCTTCTCTTTGCTGTCAATCTTCTGCACCAGTTTCCCAAAGTTAGCATGATTGTCTTTGTCCTCTAACCTTACTTCTTATCCCTTCCTCTTCTTCCACTTCTCTGTTTTCTCCTTAACCCATTTTAAATATTAAACCCTGAGGGCAAAATTGACATATTAAGGATTCATATACTACATATAATTTTCTGGTTTGTTTTAGATTTTGTTATATAACCACAAATCTAGTTCATATGGTTAAAGGTGGCAAATTAATGGTTAGTTCAGTTTGTCATTTTCTACAGTTTGTCTTTCTGTGTTTGATGCTATTGTTATTGCTGATGGTACCACTGTAGCCAAAAGTGACATAATCATTCTAAACAGCTGTTCTTCCTTTTAATCCAAGACTGAGACTGACTAATGGCCATAGAAAATACTGTGACACAGTGCCAAAGAACCAGGGACTGTGCCAAGCAGGCAGCAACTTCTCATTCCCAACAAATTGAAGAGGTAGGATCTTGCAACAGACTCAAAACTCAACAGCCTGCTACACCTGGAAGATACCTCAGAGAAGTAGTCATTTCCTAAGGGTTCTAAATACTAGCAATAAAGCAACCCAGCATTGGCAATTTACAAGCATCACCCCAGGAATTAAACTTTAAAAAGAAAAGAAAATGAGAAGACATTTAAACAAGATGCAACTCCGGACATCCAGTTCACCAAAGGCAAACCCAGGAGGCAGTGAGGTGGGACAATCTGGAAGCCACCCACCTGGTCTCTCTGAAGTGGTGACAACAAAGCAATTGAATGAGGCACTAGAAAAAATCAAATCAAAGGGGGCTGGGGATTTAGCTCAGCAGCACAGTGCCTGCCTGGCAAGCGCAAGGTCATGAGTTCAATTCCTGGTACTGGAAAAAAAAAAAAACCAAATCAGAAATAATTTCTCAGATAACTGCAGAGATGGTGTCTGCAATGAAAACCATGCTTAGTGACTCTAGAGCAGATACAGACAAAAAATGGAGAAGCTTAAGAAAATGATGGAAGCCATGTATGCTCAGCATAGAAAAGAAATGGAATCCATAAAGCAGATTCAAGCAGATATCCAGGAGAATAAAAATTCCATTGAAAGTATCCACAGCAGATTAAGCCAATGCGAGGACAAGATCTCAGATATAGAAGATAGGCCTGTGGTTATTGATAATGAAAAGAAAGATTTCTTAAAAATAGCAAGGAACCGTGAGAAATCAATCCAGCAGCTGATAGATGAGGCAAAGAAGAATAACTTAAGACTGATTGGAATCCTTGAAAAAGCAGGAGATAGCACAGATGATATTAAAAAGAAAAAACTGTTCACAGATGTCATGGCAGAAAACTTCCCTGGTAGAGAAAAAGAATTTGACATACAGTAAGTAAGGCATATAGAACTCCAATTAACCATGATTTTAAAAATTCTATAGCCAGGCGTATCATAGTCAAGATTCCAGAAATTCAACACAAGAATATAATTTTAAAAGCTGTTAGGGAAAAGAAACAACCTATAAAGGAAAGCCCATCAGAATCACAGCTAACTTCTCAGCCTAAACTCTTAAGTCAAGGAGAGCTTGGAGTGAAGTATTTCAGGTTCTAAAGGAAAACAACCTTCAACCCAGATTTATGTACCTCAAGGGGCTGGGGATTTAGCTCAGTGGCAAAGCGCCTGCCTGGTAAGCGCAAGGTGGTGAGTTTGATTCCTGGTACCAGAAGAAAAACAAAAACAAAAAAAGAAGTGCAAGCTCATGTTAGGGGCTGGGGATTTAGCTCAGTGGCACAGCACCTGCCTGGCAAGCGCAAGGTCATGAGTTCAATTCCTGGTGCCAGAAAACAAACAAACAAAAAAAAACCAGATTTATGAACCCCCAAAACTATCTTTCAAAACTGATGGAGAAGTAAGGTAATTCCATGACAAAGAACATCTGAGGAAATTTATGACCACCAAACCAATACTCCAAAATGTTTTGAAGGACATTCTAGAAAGAGATAACAAATACTATAGTTCCATGAACCTCACCAGAAGGAATTCACCAGGCAAGGCAAACAGAGAGGGAGGAAAGGGGGGTGGCAAGCCAACAACAGAAAAATAACATGAAAGGATAAGTCAGTACATACTAGTTATAACCATCAATGTTATAACTCAGATCTCAGAGGAGGATTTCACCAATCAAAAGACATAGTCTGGCAGAATGTATCAAGAAACAAGATCCAGGGCTGGGTGTGGTGGCACATGCCTGTAATCCCAGCACTCAGGAGGCTGAGGCAGGAGGATTTTTGTGAGTTTGAGAACAGCCTGAGCTACAAAGTGAGCTCAAGTCCAGCTTGAACTGTATAGCAAGACCTTGTCTCAATAAGACAAAAAGAGAAGAAACAAGATCCAATAATAGACTATATATGGGGCTCAGTGACACAGTGCCTGACTGGCAAGTGTGAGGTCCTGAGTTCAATTCCTGGTACCAAAAAAAAACTTTTAAAAAATGCTACATACAAGAAACTTCAAAAAGAAATTCATAGACTGAAAGTGAAAGAATGGAAAACAATACTCCATGCAACAGGAACCCAGAGAAAAGCAGGGGTAGTTATTCTATTTGCAGACAAAGTGAATTTCAAGCCAAGACTGATTAAGAAAGATTAAAAAAGGTCACTACATCCTTGTAAAGGGAACAATCCAAGAGGAAGAGATAACAAATACCAGTGCATCCAACTATATAAAACAAATATTAATGGGCATGAAAAATCCAATAAGCACTAATACAATTATATTGTATCCATACCCCACTGTCACAAAAAGACAGATCAACTAGACAAAAAATTAATGATGAAATATTAGAACTGAACCAAACTTTTGAATAAGTGGACTTAGTAGATGTCCACAGAGTGTTCCACACCGCAACATCAAAATACACATTCTTTTGAGCTGTGCACAGGACATTCTCCAAAATAGACCATATACTAGCTCATAGAACATGCTCAAAGCCGGGCCTGGTTGCACACACCTGTAATCCTATCACTCAGGAGGCTGAGGCAGGAGGATTGTTGCAAGTTTGGGAGCAGCCTGGGCTACAAAGTGAGCTCAAGCCCAGCTGGAACTGCATAGCAAGACCCTGTTTCAAAAAAAAGGAAAAAAAAAAAGAACATGCTTAAGTAAATGTAAAGGAATTGATATTATTGCATGCATATTATCAGACCATAGTGCAATGGCAAAAGAAATCACAAGAAATTCACAAACACATGGATACTAAATAGCACCCTCCTGAACAACCAATGGGTAACAGATGAAATTTAAAAACAAATATTTATAGTTTCTATAATTAAATGATAATGACAGTACAACATACTGGAACTTATGGAATACAATAAAAGCAGTCCTAAGTGGGAAATTTATAGCAGTGACTACCCATATCATGAATACAGAGCAAGCACAAATAACCAATTTAATGGTGAACCTCAAACTTCTAGAGAAAGAAGAGCAGGCTAAGCCAAAAGCTCATGCAAGGGAGGAACTTAAAAACATCAC